AAGGACTTTCCAGTGAAGCACTGGTCTGAGAATATAATTATGAGAATGGGTCAGGGTGTGTATTCGGCGTGAAAGGGTCAGTTTGTGTATCCGTAATTTTTGTTGTACGTAGTACCACTCGATGGTTCTACGGATGACAAGTGCATTTGTGTCTTTGCGCCCCACTGCATACAACATCCCATTCAAAATAGTGAAAACCTGCATAATGTCTGAAGTGGTGGACGATATTTGACAATCGTGTTACTTGTTGAGAAATCCATGACATCCTTCATACGGTAACAATCGACCGAATTAACTCGCTAACGTCAAAACATAATATTGTAAAATACTTCTTTACGCATCAACAAGTATTTTTGGTATCTGCCATGCACACAAAACGGTCATATCTGTTTCGGGATATGTCTACAATATGTTCAATCGATCACCCCTCTAAATCCAGCTCCTGTGGTCACGCTTCTCCAAAATATAAAACAGATTGGACAACAAGTGTCACTCAAATGTTAGAAACGTATTTACACGATATAGTCTCCTTGTATTTGTCACGCACACAGGACTGTCAATATGTTCAATCGATCACTTCTCAAACTAGGGTGTTACAATACACACTGTTTAGAGCTTGTTACATTGGTATGAAATATACTTTCCAATCGATTGCTTGTTATATTGGTTTGAAATGTTCCTTTCAACCGATTGCTTGTTACATTGGTATGAAATATACTTTCCAATCGATTGCTTGTTATATTGGTTTGAAATGTTCCTTTCAATCGATTGCTTGTTATATTGGTATGAAATATACCTTTCAACTGATTGTTTGTTATATTGGTATGAAATATACCTTTCAACTGATTGCTTGTTACATTGGTTTGAAATATACCTTTCAATCGATTGCTTGTTATATTGGTATGAAATATACCTTTCAACCGATTGTTTGTTACATTGGTTTGAAATATACCTTTCAACCGATTGCTTGTTACATTGGTTTGAAATATACCTTTCAACCGATTGCTTGTTACATTGGTTTGAAATATACCTTTCAACCGATTGCTTGTTATATTGGTTTGAAATATACCTTTCAAGTGAATGCTTGTTATATTGGTTTGAAATATACCTTTCAACCGATTGCTTGTTACATTGGTTTGAAATATACCTTTCAACCGATTGCTTGTTACATTGGTTTGAAATATACCTTTCAACCGATTGCTTGTTACATTGGTTTGAAATATACCTTTCAACCGATTGCTTGTTATATTGGTTTGAAATATACCTTTCAACTGAATGCTTGTTACATTGGTTTGAAATGTACCTTTCAACTGAATGCTTGTTACATTGGTTTGAAATATACCTTTCAACTGAATGCTTATTACATTGGTTTGAAATATATATTTCAACTGAATGCTTGTTACATTGGTTTGAAATATACCTTTCAACTGAATGCTTGTTATATTGGTTTGAAATATACTTTTCAATCGATTGCTTGTTACATTGGTTTGAAATATACCTTTCAATCGATTGCTTGTTATATTGGTTTGAAATATACCTTTAAACTAAATGCTTGTTACTTTAGTTTGAAGAATACCTTTCAACCGATTTTTTGTTACATTGATTTGAAATATATTTTTCAACCGAATGCTTGTTCAGCAAGGGTATCATACCGGTTGTGCATACATGCATGTACGTATATAATCTCGTTCTTTTATTAAAGTTTTCAAATTACACATACAGACAACAGAGTAAGAAACGTGACAAGCGTCTATGGGTAGAACTAGCCGACACAGTGGTGATCGTCGACTCACGAAAAGATCGAAACATACTCGAAACTTTACCTTCACCCGATACAAAGCACACGGTCTTGTAACGTTTCTAAGTCAGTATTATATCGGGCGACGTAACATCTGCAAGCTCTTAGGGCGAGTATCATATTTTACTGTTGGGTGCAAAGACATGATGGCATACAGTGGCTACAATTTGCCGTTTGTGGTGGCAGATTCCATACATATGTATTTCAAGTTACTTGTAGGAAAACAATATACAGGTTTACAGTATTTGCTCAATTAAAAGAATATTTTTAATAAAAGTGCCATGTGATACATGAACCATAATGCACCTTTTGAAACATAAACCAACACCACAGCAACTCAAGGACCTGACAAATTCTTGTTGTTTTGCCTTCTCCAACAAGTCCAATTTAATTTTTCAAATCTTGTTAGAAAGTGATATGTTCATGACATTATAAGTGTAGCCCATTGTATTCCATTTAGTTGTCCAAATTCAAATTTTGCACTTAAAGTTGTTGATGCACTGTGATAGACTATATTTTTGCGCAAAACAGGCAACTAATAACCACCCTTAACAAATTAAGAATTTATAGTACAATCCTTCATTCAGCTATCCAGTTACCAGTGCAATCTGGCAATGCTATTCACTGATTCGTTAAAGTGAACTACATAACATGGTAAATGCACTACATAACATTGTAAATGCACCACACATGATAAATGCACCACACATGATGAATGCACCACACATGATGAATTCACCACATAATAAGGTAAATGCACTACATAATGAGGTAAATGCACCACAGAATAAGATAAATGCACCACAGAATAAGGTAAATGCACCACAGAATAAGGTAAATGCACTACATAACATTGTAAATACACTACATAATATGATAAATGCAATACATAATAAGGTAAATGCACCACACACGATAAATGCACCACACATGATGAATTCACCACATAATAAGGTAAATGCACCACAGAATAAGGTAAATGCACTACATAATATGGTGAATGCACTACATAATATGATAAATGCAATACATAATAAGGTAAATGCACCACACACGATAAATGCACCACACAACATGATAAATGAACTACATAATAAGGTAAACACAACATAACATTCTACATGATAAGGTAAATGCACCACACAGCTCAAAACACTCTTTACACAATATCACGAGGTCACGGGGTCAAATATCACCAAAAATACCAAATAGTATGCAATACGTTTACTACCTCGTGTGCGGGTTCTTAACCAATATAAAATTACACAATTTGTGTAACACAAGTATAATTTAGACTGATGGGCTCCAGTAGAGTTCAATACAACCATATGCACATATAAGCAGCAATAATGCACACCGGCCAATCTTACACATACAACACTATACATGAATTACGTGAAACCAAAGTTTATTAGGTACACAAAACATACTTGCTACTATTCTCTCCGTCGGTATCGCGCGCCCTTGCGAAGGTACAGCTCAACACGCGGGGCCTTCACCACGCACCAAAGCAACTATGTTATTGGTAAGAGGTGGGGATTACGAAATTTCGCACTGTAGACACCACAGCAAAGTCGGTAACAACCCTACGACCAGGGGAGGAACGGCGTACCCTACTAGTCTCGTGTACCAGTTCCATGCACTCTTAAAATATTATATAAATAAACTGGCCAGAAAAATAACAATTCTAGTAATTAACACGATAATATAATAACTGGAAGCCCAATACTTACTAGTGTGTCGTGCATCGAACAGTGTCAGTCGGCAGTGTCGCCCGGTGAATTATACGAAGCCAGCGACCGTAGTTAGTGAATTGAACTCTCCTTCTCATCCACAGCGCCAAGGCTTTTTCCCAGTTAGACTTCAGACTGATTTTCAACGCCGGGTTCGACTATGGTAGTCTGTGGTAGTACTGCTCGCCGCTTCCAGGGTCGTACAAAGATGTTGGTCAAGATTTCCAGCAGCAACGACCCAGCACCACGCTGTCTGTGTTTAAATACCTTGCCATCACACAGCTAGTTGTGTTAATCGCTAATTGGTCCGCGACACCTGTTTATTCATCACATAGATACTCGTCCAGCAGTGTCCAAGTGCGACTTCGAGAGGTCACATTATAAGTACTTTCTGTACGTGTAGTGACAAATGCGGCTACCTACTGGGCTAAAAAACCTACTTCTGGGCTGTTATCAATTTATACTATAACAATAAATTAATAAATTAATAAATACAAAATTACATAATAACAAGCGTGTCCTTTCAATAATACAGTTTCTGATATGATCCATACACCTCGTGACATACCCCCATGCTAAGATGTAACCATGCCGTTAAAGATGGTATTATGGTTACGTCAACAATACAATTCATTGATGTCACGGATCAGGGAAACTACATAAAACAACCATTTACTATATTACATTCAACACCATATTGACTATTGTACTAAAACCTCAGGATAGGAAAATGATTGAAGATATATGGCCCATCACATAATTCGACTATTAGAAAATTTAGCGGTTTTAATATAGACTAGAGGCTTGTGGTCGGTTTCAATCCAAAATTTATGCAGGTATAGATATGGCTGAAACTTTTTTATTCCCCAAACTATGACCAGGCATTCCTTTTCAATCACCGCATAATGCGACTCTGCGTGGCTCACCTTCCAGCTAGCATACGCCACTGGAAATGCAACATCATAATATTACAACAAGACCGCCCCAAGGCCCGTTTCCGAGGCGTCTGTCCGTAGAACAAAAGTTCGCTTAATATCGGGAAGTCGCAATACAGGGGCATTACTCAAAATATTTTTGAGCTGTTCAAATTCCAGCTGATGGCAATGCTCTCATTCAACTTTACTGGGTTTACCCTTCTTTGTAAGTTCGTGTAGAGGTGCAGCAATGGAACAAATTTGCGATAATAACCCGCTAGGCCCACAAATGATCTAACGTTAATTACTATCAGGGGTCGCGGAGCATTCTGCAATGCACGAACCTTTCCTGGGACTAGACTCAATTGGCCTCGCCCCACCACATGGCCAAGAAATTCAAGCTGAGTGAAACCAATATAGCATTTTGATGGTTTAGCTGTTAAGCCTGCCTCCTGGAGGCGATTCAATACATTCTCAATCTCCTCAGATGGGATTGCCAAGTCTTGCTATATATCAAAATGTCATCCACTAAACTAACAACTTCTCCTTCGGTACCCATCAGAACTGTTCGCATAGTGCGATTGAATGTACTGGGACTATTTACAAGTCCAAATGGAAGGAAACGATATTGGAAAAGACCCAGTGGGGTAAGAAAAGCAGTTTTGGCTTTTGTCTCAGTAGCCAAAGGTATTTGCCAGAACCCTTTAGTAAGATCAAGTTTGGTCAGGTAATTACCATCAGCCAAATAATTCCTCTGGGTTAGACATTGGCTCAGCATCGAATATTGTGATCTTATTGAGCTTTTGAAAGTCTGTACAAAACCGAAGACTTCCATCGGGCTTCTTAATAAGCAGAATGGGTGAGCAATAAGGTGAATTCAATGATTCCCAGTTCCATCATGCTTGCGGAGCTTCTCTGTATGCAAACAATAATGATGCTATGTAACAGTCCTTCGATCGCTCTCTACACATGCGTTTGAGCATGGACTTGAGAACGCCATTCAAACGTTCACTTAGGACATTTGTTTGTGGGTGATATGGATTCGTGATGAACCGTTTAATTGACAGGAGTCTACTAACCTCTTGCATAATATCACCCACAAACTGACGACCTTGGTCAGTGAGAACCTGTTCAGGTATACCAACACGACTATAAATAGTAACCAGTGCTTCTGCTACTACTTCAGTAGAGATCTTTTTTAGAGGTGTAGCTCCAGGATAACGGGTTGCATAATCAAACACTGTAAGTATATATTGGCACCCACTAGTAGTAATTGGTTGGATTTGCCCACCAAGTCCATGGCTACCCGTTTGAATGGAATATCAATTAAGGGCATGGCAGTAAGTGTAACCTTTTCGACTCGACCTTTGGGTACAGTACGCTGGCAGGAGTCACATAACCGACAATACCGTTTAATGTCATCATGCATCACTGGCCAGTAAAATTGGGAAAATATTTTATCTTTGTGTTTTCTGTACACCCAAATGTCCCCCCAATATGCAGTCTTGGCCTAATTTCATGACATCTGATTGAAATGTAGAAGGAACTATCAACTGACTAATAATGCGCCCAAAATCAAAATTAGGTGATCGAAATTTTCGGTACAATAGACCCTTTTTAACATAAAAACTAGTTATTTGATTTTCCAGTCGCTACCTTTTTCCTCAGCTGAATACCTAAATAATCGCTTTAAACTCAAGTCATTTTGTTGTAATTCACGCAAACTCTCAGGGGTCAGAACAAGGTCATGAGTCTAGAATTTTGGTACCACCAACTTTTGCGCATGCTTTTTGGTCCGAGACTGCTCTTGTCTCAACACCTTGTGTAACCTCAAGTATTTCCAGCCCACTAGACTGGTCATTGGCACCATCTTGGACAGTGGTCGAGGAGTTTGCCAGCTTACCTTCTGCCACCTGTCCCTCAGGATTGCCACCCGTGTTCACCATGCCAAGGACTTGCACCTACATAATTGGTGCCATAATTGGTGACAGGGGTTAGGGAATCTCCCTCAATCCTCTGCCCCTCAGGCAAACCAGCCGTATTCATCACACCAACTGTAAGACCGAGAATTGCACCCACAGAAACAGTGTCAGGGGTGGCCACAATTTGGTCCACCTGACTGGGGTCTTTGTGTTTTGACACTCATACCTGTGTCATTAGGAATTTCACCTGAATGTTTTGATTTAGTGACATTCATGTCACAAAGAATTTCACCTCCACTATAAGTACCACAATGCCGCTCACATGAAGTGTGAACACCCATTGCTCCCAGAACATTACCTATCAGCACATCAAAGAGGGGTCTTGTCATGCATGCAGCTTTGACAATTCCAGTGTAATACGGAGTGCGGACCTCTGGTTCGGCTTCAGGAACTCGTTTCCATGTACCATCAGCTAGTACACAAGTACGATGTCTACCAGTGAACTGTGAGAGACGTACCAGGTTCTTACGAATAACAATCCCAGAACACCCTGTATCCTTTAGTACTGTCACTTTCTGTCCATTGACCATGCCCTCGGCAGTGGGCAATTTTAGTCCCGCAACCTGTTTATCGAGATTGCGTTCTATTACCAACAAATGTGTCAACAGGTTGACATGTTGAATGTGTGTTGGTGGTAGTTGCATGTGGTATAATGATGCACGTTGATGTGGCAGTGGTCGGGGAATCCAGAGAAGGGGTCAAATCTTCAACCTCAACTTCACAAGCGGCTGTTAATAATTTGCCATTTTGCCTAAATTTGGCATAACAGTCTTACCGCTTATGCCCGACACGTGAACATCTGTGACACCTAACTGGTGTGTACCCTTTTCTCTGTTTTGCTTGTTACTGGTGGTGTTAGCCGTCTTGTTGAACTTTGGTTCAGCTGCAGATTTACTATTATTTTGAGTATAGTATCGTGCCTCATTCCTGAGGTCAGCAAATTTTGCAACTTCACTTGAGTCTCGACACTGGTGTTCCCTCAAGAACACTAACATTTCAGGGCTATATGTGCTATAATACTGTTCACGCAAGAACAAGTCTTTCAGCGCTTCCACAGTATTCACAACACCTGCCATATTAACCCACTGTGTCAAGTAGTGCTCAAGTCGAACCATAAATTGCCTTGCAGTCTCAAATATTGTCGGACGTGCCTGACGAAACTTGATACGATATCCCTCCTTTGTCAACCCATACGCCTTCAGCATAACACGCTTGACCACGTCCCAGTCACGAGTCTCATCTACGGACAGTGCATCATGAACTGCCAATGCCTTTCCTGTTAATTGACCAATAAATGCCACAACCCAAATGTCTTGCTTCCACCCACAATTCTGAGCGAAAATTTCAAACCGATTTATATACATGTCCATGTCATCACTATCTTTAAAATTGGGAGGGGACTGAATTGTTGTAGCAAAGGGAGACGAATTTGTATTATTTTGCAATTCAAGTTTAGTCGTAAAATCGAGCTGAGCTAATTCTGTGGCAGCCCCTCTTTCAGCTTTTAATTTTGCAAGTTCAATTTCAGCTACTTTCTCTAGCCTTTCTTGCTCAAGTTTAGCCCTTTCTTGCTCGAGTTTTATAGCTTGTGCAGCCTTTTCCCTCTCGAACTTGACCACCTGTTCTAACATTTCTTTCCCGGCTTTAGCAGCCTGTTCTATCCTTTCCCTTTCAGCTTTAGCTTTTACAATACAACTACATGCACATATAAGCAGCAATAATGCACACCGGCCAATCTTACGCATACGACACTACACATGAATTATGTGAAACTAAAATTTATTATGTACACAAAACTTATACTTGCTACAGTTCTCTCCGTCGGTATCGCGCGCCCTTGCGGAGGCACAGCACAACACGCGGCCCTCACCACGCACCAACGCAACTATGTTATTGGTAAAAGGTGGGGGTTACGTAATTTCGCACTGTAGATACCACAGCAAAGTCGGTAATGACCCCACGACCAGGGAAGGAACGGCGTACCCTACTAGTCACGTGTATCAGAGTCATGCACTCTTAAAATGTTACATAAATAAACTGGCCAGGAAAATAGCAATTCTAGTAATTAACAAGGTAACATAATAACTCGAAGCCCAAGACTTACTAGTGTGTGTAGGAATGTTCGGTACCTGACGTTTCCCGACGTGCGTCGAACAGTGTCTGTCGGCAGGGTCGCCCGGTGAATTATAAGAAGTCAGCGACGGTAGTTAGCGAATTGAACTCTCCTTCTCATCCACAGCGCCAAGGCTTCTTTCCCAGTTAGACTTCAGACTGATGCTTAACGCCGGGTTCGACTGTGGTAGTATGTGGTAGTACTGCTCGCCGCTTCCAGGGTCGTACAAAGCGTAGATGTTGGTCAAGATTTCCAGCAGCAACAACCCAGCACCACGTTGTCTCAGTCTTTAAATACCCTGCCATCACATGGCTAGTTGTGTCAATCGCTAATTGGTCCGCGACACCTGTTCATTCATCACATAGATACTCGTCCAGCAGTGTCCAAGTGCGACTTCGAGGTCACATAATAGGTACTTTCTATACGTGTAGTGACAAATGCGGCTACCTACTGGGCTAAAAAACCTACCTCTGGGCTGTTATCAATTTATACTATAACAATAAATTAATAAATACAAAATTACATAATAACAAGCGTGTCCTTTTAATAATACAGTTTCTGATATGATTCAAACACCTCGTGACACACACTATAATATTGTAATTATTCCAGTACTTCAATATATATCAGGGGGTACAATAATAAATGCTAGCAAACCCATATGGTGTAAACTGCAGCTCCTATGGCGTCACACATCTTATTTGTATAACTATTATCACCAGTTTGGTTCAAATGACCTATAATGCAAGATTATATTCAACACACTATTTACACACTAAAATATTGTAATTATTCCAGTACTTCCATATATATCAGCGGTACAATAATAAATGCTAGCAAACCCCTATGAGATTAAATGCGGTCCCTATGGCGTTACACATCTTATTTGTATAACTATTATCACCAGTTTGGTTCAAATGACCTATAATGCAAGATTATATTCAACACACTATTTACACACTACATAATATTGTGATTATTCCAGTACTTCCATATGTATCAAGGGTACAATAATACATGCTGTCAAACCCCTATGGTGTTAAATGTAGCCTCTATGGTGTTACATATCTTATTGTACAACTATTATCACCTGGTTGGTTCAAATGACTTGTACTGGAAGATTATATTCAACACACTCTTTACACACTAAATAATATTGTAATTATTCCAGTACTTCCATATATATCAGCGGTACAATAATAAATGCTAGCAAACCCCTATGAGATTAAATACGGCCCCTATGGCGTTACACATCTTATTTGTATAACTATTATCACCAGTTTGGTTCAAATGACCTATAATGCAAGATTATATTCAACACACTATTTACACACTACATAATATTGTAATTATTCCAGTACTTCCATATATATCAGCGGTACAATAATAAATGCTAGCAAACCCCTATGAGATTAAATGCGGCCCCTATGGCGTTACACATCTTATTTGTATAACTATTATCACCAGTTTGGTTCAAATGACCTATAATGCAAGATTATATTCAACACACTATTTACACACTACATAATATTGTAATTATTCCAGTACTTCCATATATATCAAGGGTACATTAATACATGCTGTCAAACCCCTTTGGTGTTAAATGCAGCCCCTATGGTGTTACACATTTATTTGTATAACTATAATTATCAGATTGATTCAAATGACTTGTACTGGAAGATTATGCTCAACACACTCTTTACACACAAAATAATATTGTAATTATATTCAACACACTAAATAATATTGTAATTATTCCAGTACTTCCATATGTATCAAGGGTACCATAATAAATGCTAGCAAACCCATATGGCGTCAAATGCAGCTCCAATGGCGTTACATACCTTATTTGTATAACTATTATTACCAGTTTGCTACAAGTGACTTATAATGCAAGATTAGACTCAACGCACTCTTTACACACTAAATAATATTGTAATTATTTCAGTACTTCCATATATATCAGGGGTACAATAATAGATGCTAAAAAAACCTATGGCGTTAAATGCAGCCCCTATGGCGTTACCCATCTTATTTGTATAACTATTATTACCAGCTTTGTTCAAATGACTTGTACTGAAAGATTATACTCAACACACTCTTTACACACTACATAATATTGTGATTATTCCAGTACTTCCATATGTATCAAGGGTACCATATTACATGCTTGCAAACCCCTATGGCGTTAAATGCAGCCCCTATGGCGTTACATACCTTATTTGTATAACTATCATTACCAGTTTGCTACAAATGACTTATAATGCAAGATTAGACTCAACACACTCTTTACAGATTAAATAATATTGTAATTATTCCAGTACTTCCATATATATCAGTTATATAATAGTAGATGCTAGCAAACCCTATGGCGTTAAATGTTGCCCCTATGGCGTTACACATCTTATTTGTATATCTATCACTATCAGGTTTGTTCAAATGACTTATAATGCAAGATTAGACTCAACACACTTTTTACACACTAAATAATATTGTAATTATTTCAGTACTTCCATATGTATCAAAGGTACCATAATAAATTCTATCAAACCCTATGGCGTTAAATGTTGCCCCTATGGCGTTACACATCTTGTTTGTATAACTATTATCACCAGTTTGGTTCAAATGACCTATAATGCAAGATTATATTCAACACACTATTTACACACTACATAATATTGTAATTATTCCAGTACTTCTATATATATCAAGGGTACATTAATACATGCTGTCAAACCCCTTTGGTGTTAAATGCAGCCCCTATGGTGTTACACATTTATTTGTATAACTATAATTATCAGATTGATTCAAATGACTTGTACTGGAAGATTATGCTCAACACACTCTTTAC